CTGTGTGCGATGCGGCGATGCAGCCTTGCAAGCACCTGACCCGCTCTCCTGACGTACATCCGGCCCTCTCCTGCAACCGCACTGTTGATCCGGTGCTTTACCTGTGACCCCCAGGCGTTACCTTCAGCTACGACCCCAGATTTCTCCAACTGTTCCCGTGTCGGCTTGGAGCTCCTAGACGTAGCCCAAGTCCAGGTACCTCTCATGGTTGGTTGTGTGCCACAGCTGTCAGCCGGTGCTTGGAGCTACTTGTAAAACAAAGCCGAGGAAGAAGAAGACGAAGCCGTTTCTTGCTTGAGTCGTTCTCTCCTGACCTCTCCTCAACTTCTTCACCTGCTCCCCCTGTGTGTCAAATACTGTCGCCATCCTCCCTCTTTGCGAAGTTCACAGCCTGCATCGCAAGGAGGCGCAACCTTTCCTGCCTACTTCACTTTGGTACTCTCGCTGCCTTCCTTGACCGCATCCTCCTCTACTGCTTGACCCCGCCAAGAATCCGTTTGTTCTCGGAGCTGGTTCTCGGGAAGCTCATTCCATCATGCGTTTATCCTCGTTACTAGTGGTCGCCGCGACGGCCAGCGCTTCCACATTGACTCCTCCTGTACTTCCTCTAATTGTTCGCAACCCGTACCTGAGTACCTGGCTCGGCAATGCTCGCGATGCGCCGTGGGAACATTGGCCCTACTTCTGGACCGGCTCTAGCGTAAGCTCTCTTGACTTGCCGTCCACTCCAGGCGCGTGGTCTGGCTAACTGGGGATAATCCCATCAGGTCGGGTTCTCGGTCATGGCCTCGGTGCCCGACTCCAATACCATTTACCCATTGCTGGGACGGCCCCAGGATTCATTGCCCCCATCTTCCAAGTGGGTTTGGCTGCTACCTATCTTCGTGATTGTAAATTGACATGCCTTCAGATACTACAACGTATCTGTCCCGTCCTACCTAGGCGCAACCTTTGACGCCTCGACGACGAACTTGACCTACTCGATCCCCCCTCCACCCGGATCTGCCGCGCCGGTCAAGGTTGTGCTCTCCTTTCTCTCGCCCATTACGCCCACCTCGACCTTCCGACAATCGATCCCTGCTGCGTATCTGACTGTCCACGCCGAAGGGTCTTTCGACATCAACATCTACACCGATGTCAATGGCGAGTGGGTCAGCGGCAACAGGGACAACAGCATAGTCTGGGAACTGAGCAAGGCAAAGGCCTCGAACAAGCAGAGCGCTGCTGCTCTAAAGACCTGGCAAGTTGGCAGACAGTATCCGCAACTGCTCACCGAGTTCGCCGACCACGCGGAATGGGGTACTCTGCACTTTACCGGCCCCGCCGACGTCTACCACCAAGCCGGCACGTCCGCGAAGCTTCGCCAACAGTTTGCGACGAAGGGCTCTCTGACGAACGAGATCGATACCTCGTACAGGAAGATCATGGACGAGGAACCCGTCTTTGCTTTCTCCAAGACCTTTCACCTGAGTGGCAAGACGGGCAGCGAGTCGACGTCTGATGATAGTGTACTATTCACGTTTGCTCTTGTCCAAGACCCCGTGGTCCAGTTCGCCGCTGCAAGAGGACTGACGCAGATGCGCCCGTTGTGGTCCTTTTACTTTGCCACCCCGGCCGAGCTGATCCAGTACCACTACGATGATTTCTCGGCGGCTAGCCTACTGGCTGGGAACTACTCGAATCAGCTTGCCATTGATGCGTTTGCTTCTGGGTCATCAGATTACCAGGACATTGCCGCCCTGTCAGCTCGCCAGGTCCTCGGCGCAACACAATTCTCTGGAACCCCCGATGACCCGATCCTCTTCCTCAAGGAGATCTCTTCCAACGGAAACTTCCAGACCGTCGATGTGATCTTCCCTGCGTTCCCGTTCTTCCTGTACACGAACCCTCGTTGGCTGGCATACCTGTTGGAGCCTCTGCTTGAGCATCAGCTTAGCGGACAGTATCCGAATGATTATAGCATGCATGACCTGGGTGCTCATTTCCCGAATGCGACTGGACACCCTGACGGGAATGATGAGTACATGCCTGTTGAGGAGTGCGGAAACATGCTCATCATGGCACTGGCACTTGTCAACGCCTTCAAGTACGACACGCAGCCAGCGTTCCTGCAAACTATCAACGAACATGCGCACTCCCATGTCTCTCTCGAGGCAGAGACCAGCAGTGCTCGCCCATGGGGACTTTCCATGGACTCCTTTGGCATCGACCGTCGCTCGGAGGTCGCTGCTATGAGGGGCTCAAAGGAGGCCGAGAAATGGGCGTCCAGATCCTACGAGTTGTGGACGAAGTGGACGGGTTATCTCGTTCGCGAATCACTGATCCCGGCCAACCAACTCTGCACGGACGACTTTGCTGGATGGCTATCGAACCAGACGAACCTGGCCCTCAAGGGTATCATTGGAATCAAGGCGATGGCCGAGATCTCCAATATTCTTGGCAAGACGGACGATTCAAAGTACTACGCGGACATTGCAGCCGACTATATTGACCAGTGGCAAGGCTTTGGCATCTCCAGAGACGGCACCCATGCCAAGCTGGCGTACACCTGGTACGGTTCTTGGACGACCATCTATAATCTCTTTGCGGACTCGCTGCTCTGCTTCCACTTGCCCGAGGAGAAGAAGTCGACCCTCGGAGGACGAGTGACGCAGTGGATCCAAAAGGCCATTGGCATCGAGAAGCAGTCGACGTTTGTCCCGGATAAGGTGTACAGTATGCAGAGCAACTGGTACCATGCCGTATTGCAGCACTACGGGCTCCCGCTCGATAGTCGCCACCTCTACACGAAGAGTGACTGGCAGTTCTTCGCCGCTGCGGTGTCGAGCAAGAAGACCCGGATGGAGATTCTCCAGAGCGTCGCGACATGGGTCAATGAGACCACAACAGGTAAGTCGGAGACTTGAACCTGTCACTTTTTCCTACCTTGGACGACATGTTGTTTGCTGACCATGATGTGACAAAAGACCGACCCTTCACCGATCTCTACGAAACAGAAGGAACTGGTGGCTGGCCCGGCCCTCACTTCATGGCTAGACCGGTCGTTGGAGGCCATTTCGCCTTTCTGGCACTGGAGAGAGCTTGCGGGGGCAAGGCTGTCGAGGGACTGAGCTTCTTGGACGAGCCTGCATCGTTTGCGGAGGTGAATGTCGGAAAGGCGCTGGAGGCTGAGATGGTGAGCGGAGGTGTTCTGGGCGCAGAGCAGCAGGTAGTCATGGAGGATCTGTAAGACGTGAGCCTTTTGGCATGAATGCTCTAGATGCCGTTCTCCATATTTCAACATGGCATTTGATCAAGACTATCGATCAAGACTATCTAGCAAGGTGGTCGTACCATCATAGTCGTAGTATACTGTATACTGACGACTAAACGCATCTACCCAAGTCTCGATTATTCGATATGCTGCAACATGCTCCGTCATTGCAGTCGAGATGAAAAACATTTTCGAATAGACGACAGACACTACATTGCGCCGGTCAGGGGATTGTCTTCTCTTTGTTCTTTGATTCAGAATGTTTGAGAGTCTCTGGACCTCCCTCTCATGTTGTGGCCATGGCAAAATGCCCCTTTGTGGATTCAAGATATTGTTCATTGGCACCTATCCCCACATTGAGACTTTTGGACCTCAGCTAGGCGAGGGACCTGCAGTGTAGCGAGGTAGTTTGGTAAACAGCACGGCAGTCAAGTATTAACTTTCTTGGCCAAATATAGCTTCTCGATGGGTGGATGAAAGAAAATACCAGACCATGGGCCCGGAAAATCTGAATGTGATAAAGTAACATGCATGTCAATATCCAATTCAAGGAATGCCCATTGTGCATGGGGTCGGTATGGTCATCGCTCGCGCGGGAAGTCTCATTGGATTGAAAATTCAGAAAAGGTCCGCGCTTTGGCCAACTGGCGACAGGGAGATGTAACCGTACCTATTGCAGTCAACTGGCTGTGTTTTTTCCCTTGCTGCTGGTGCTCACCCACGGTCCAGGAAGTGCCTGTCACCGAACATCCACAATTCCTGCCCCAGCACAGGCACTGGCAGGCAGGTAGTCAATCAATCAATCAACTCATGGAATCGATTCACGGATGGTAAAGGTGCGTGCCTTGCTTGTATGTAGGTATCCCACCACCCATCACCACCCACCATCCTGGTGTCCAGCAGTAGGCATTGGGTGCGGTTTCCTTCTGGCCCATTCCTTCGTTCGCCCTGCCTTCTCACCAACAGCGAAGAGATGGTCGAGCCATTGAGAGTACCATACATAGGTTGCATAACGTTGGTAGCCTGCTGCAAAAGCTGCATTTTGTCCGCCTTGCTCATGTTCCAGTCTTGAATTCGCCCAGAAAGCTGACCATTCAGGTGCTGGCTGCACCAACCCTGCGCCTTCCACTTCCGTCACAAGCTAGGTAAGGTAGGTACATTCACCGGACCTGGGGTGTACCTGCCGCTGCTGCTGTGAAAAGTGGTATCACGGTCTTAAGGTAAGTACCTTTAGGTAAGACAGGCAATGCTTAGTGCTTTGACTACCTAGCTGCAAAGACAGGCAAGGCAGGCGCGCCCATACACCCGACACACGCACACCTCACCCATTGACCCCGTGGACCATCTTTCTCTCCCTCTCTACCTCTCTCTGCGCCTCGACCACAAACGTCCCTTCCTTCACCTCGCTTTCTTCACCTTTCCCTCCCTCCCACAATCGGCATCTCAAGGCCTCGTCGCTTCCTCAATTGATGTCTATCGTCGTATAATTACTACATCGACGATTGTACCAAAAAATTTCCTATCTTCGTCCAGTCTCTTTTTTCTCTCTCCCACGTACGCATCCCCTTCCTTACTTCCCCAAGGTTCCCCTTCTTGTTGGGTCCGATCCGCTTCGCATCCTCCCTTCTGACCAATCGCCGCAACAGAAGAGTCTGCGTCACCGGCTTTCGCGTCGTTGGCCAATTCTACCCACAACCAACATCAAACACTGTCAACGAACAACAACTCGTTTGTTCACTAGATCATTATGGCTTCCACCGCTATGGATTACGAGGCCGCCAACGGCGACCGCTACGATGGTTCGTTCTTTCTCGATACAGACCGCCCCCCAAAGCACGACGAGGCGCTGACAGACAAACGCGACACAGACGAGGCTCCTCGTTACGAGCGCGACAACCGCAGCGCCTCCCCTCGCCCTGCGCGTGATGACGGAGACTCTGGACGTCGTCGCTCTGCTTCGCCCTCTGGCAACGGTGACCGCGACCGCGACCGGTAAGCAAACACAAAATTTCGATGAATCCGCTTTTGTCCAAACAATGTTCGATTGCTGACACGTACTGTTTTCCTTTCCAGTGGCGCCAAGGATGAGACTGGCTCCCGCGGTGGCGACCGTGACGATGACGGCGCTATCAACCCTGGCTCCAACCTCTTCGTCACTGGCATCCACCCCCGTTTGACCGAGCAGGAGGTCACTCGCATGTTCGAGAAGTACGGTGATGTTGAGAAGTGCCAGATCATGCGCGACCCCCACACCAAGGAGTCTCGTGGATTTGGCTTCGTCAAGATGGTCACTTCTGACCAGGCCGACGCCGCTAAGGAGGGTCTGCAGGGAGAGCAGATTGAGGGACGCACCTTGAGCATCGAGAAGGCTCGTCGTGCTCGCCCTCGCACTCCCACCCCTGGCAAATACTTCGGCCCCCCCAAGCGTGGTAAGCATTTGCTCTGTCAACACGATCACTTTAGGAGGAGTCACTAATGCGACGTTCAACAGAGGGCGGTGGCGGCGGAGGTGGCCGTGGAGGCCGATTCAACGACCGTTACGACGACCGTCGTCGCGGAGGTTACGGCGGTGGCGGCTATGGAGGTGGTGGCTACGGAGGTGGCCGCGATGACCCCTACCGCTACCGCGGATACGAGCGCCGTGGAGGCTACGAAGACCGTGGCGGTGGCGGTGGCTACGACCGTGGCTACCGTGAGGACCGTGGCTACGACCGCAGCTACCGTGAGGATCGGGGCGGCGCTGGTGGCTCCGGCGGCTACGAGAGACGCGAGCGTGGTGGTGACGATACTTACAGCAGCAGTGGCCGTGTCGATCGCTACGGCGGCGGCGGTGGCGGACGTGAGGACCGTGGCGACCGCTATGCTCGTGGTGGCGATGACCGCCGCGGCGGTGGTGCTGCCGGCTACGAGAGACGCGAGCGCGGTGGTGATGATACCTACAGCAGCAGCCGTGACCGTCCTCCTCGCGATGCTCCCGCCGGAGGTGCGGCTTACGCTGACGCCCCTGCCCGCTCCGAGGGTCGTGAGGCCTATGGAGGTTGGAAATCCCAACCCCAGTGAATTCGCTGTGGTCTCAACGCTAACGTATCTAGGCTCTCGCTAATTTCTTAACGCTCTCTTCCGGAGTCGTCAATACGCCCGGTTTGATGGCGACTGACGGATCATCCCTTTCCTCTTTCCTAGTTCGATCGATTACGGCGGATATCCCAAAATTTGCGTCTCATGAAGTTCTTGTGCACTACAACTAGTATGGGATGGATCACAAAATGGGAATTTTTCGGCCTGCGTGGTTCACGGCTTCTTAACCTCGGTTTCTCGGTAACAATGACTGTAGGCGAGAACCAGCTGCCTTTTATTTGGGTGCTGTTTCTTAACTCGGTCTCTGCAGTCGACGAATGTTTGGCGGTCTCTATGGTAGCTATGGCAAACAATCAACACGGCAAAAAAACGGCAGGCATCGACAGGCTTTGGCCAGAGTGACAGTCACTTCCCCCTCGTGGACCAGCACTTTCGTTACACCACATCGTGGGCCTGCGGCGGTCCACGATTGTTTCTACGCAGCACTTTCCACCTTGTACCATTATCTATCGCGTCCCACATCGGGGTTCAGTCGAGTTTGAGACGGCTTCGCAAATCCGACATGGCTCTTTCGATGCAATTTTCAGCATGATAAGATGTTGACCAGCAATGCAACATGAATGACAACCACGTCCCTTAATTCAACTAAAACGTAACTGTGCCGCCTGAACGCCACTATTCAAATTCAACCCTCATATCGTAAATGAAACGCCTCTTTTCCCGCCATCCACACCCTCTATTGTTCATTTCATCGTCATGTCAGCACAAATCAGTGGTACGGGATTCAACGAAGTCGTGGCCCTTGCTTCGCCGCGTTATTCTGATCACCCACCTCCAGCGCTTCTTGGCCGTGTTTAGAGCGTCACATGGCATATGTGATAACAAAGCACAAAATTTGTTTCAAAGGTATCTCCCCCCAAATGCACTGAACTAAACTGACGCTTTAGCAAACACATCGCTTTCACAGTGAAAATTCGTTCCGCTTGGAATGTGGATGCCTGACATAGCCTTGGCGTCCATCTCCCACGTTTGCTTCGCTACTTACTCTACTTCCTTTTTCCGCCAGCTTTTCCGATTTTGCGCGGGCGACCAGCCTAAGTTCCAACGCGCGGTGCAGCCCAACTTTTAGGCCTACCCCATCTAGTTGTCTGCTGTCTCAGTCACGGCGCGGGGTTTGCCTTTCGCGTGTTGGTTTGGAAATATTTTCTCCATTTCCCACACGGCTTCTGGCAGGGCTTTCCCTATTGCCGCAAAGAAGTTGCTCAAACGCATCGTGGCTCAACCTTTGATGAGGTCTGCTGTATCTGACAGCCTGCGGCGAACAGAGATCCGAGGCCTTCGTCATCTGCGTCAAAATAGCGTTCAACGTCGAACGTAAGAGGCACGAGCATAATTTACTTGGACCAGGCAAATCGTTGAGAGTCTCTCACCTCTCTATTAATATGGAACTCCCAAGGGGTTGCCCGGTCTTTCACGTCATCCCGCTGGGAAGAATAATTGCTACACAACTTGCACCCGAATGGTAATTAACAGCACAAACCAGATAGGCAGTATCATAGCTTGGTACATAATATAACACAAAGTCATCAAAAGGAACTGTACAGTCCATGGCGCTCCACCCGTCGTCCAGAAGTTTGGGGAATCATTCATCATTTAGTCGTGACTACTGCTGCGAACACATGATCTTCAACTCGGGTACTCAGCCTCAGTCGTTTCTTGGTGCCTGTGACTGGTTGGGCGCAGGCGCAGGCGCACCAATAAGCCAGCCAACGCCTGATGTTAACGTGCCCATGGCCGCCTCGCGTAGCTGATCGCGCTTCCTCGCCCTGGGGTGGTCATCATGCCCATCCCATTCGCCGTCAGGCGCCGAGCCTGATGAACCCGGCGCAGGAGCCGCAGCGGCGGCAGCAGCGGCGCCACCACCGGCAGATTGCTGTAGAGTCGAGAGCGCAGTGAAGTTGCGAGTCGCCGCGCGGGCCGTTGCACGCGAGAGGTCGAACAGCGACATGGGGGCGTCATCTCCGGCCTTGCTCGCAACCGCGGCTGATGGGTGGGCCTGCCGTTCGCCTGACGACCGGTGAGATCGCACCGCCGCGGGGGCTGCGTCGAAGCCGCCGGGCATGACAGAGTGCTCGGCAGTGCCCAGGTCCTCTTCGCGAGCAGCGTCTTCCTTGATGGCTGAGTCAAGCTGCTCCTCGCAGCGGCGGAAGGTTTTGAGAATCTCCTGTAGCTGCGAGGGAGGCGCAATCCTCAGGGCCGTGGCGAGGCAGTCGATGCGCTGTTCTAGGTGCCTGATGTCGGGATTCCCGCTGGCGTTGCCCAGGTGTGTCGGGCGTACTGTTCGGGCACTCCTGATGTACTGCCCGGCCTGCAGAGCAGCCCTCCAGGACCAGTCGTCGTCGACTTTTACCGTGGAACCCATTGATGCGTCCACTCCGCCGCTGAGCCGGTTGACGATATATGAGTACGCCGTCTCAAAGTCGTCTTCTTTCAAGGCTGCTTCGATACACATGGCTGTGATGCGTTGTGTCGCAGCATCGATTTGCTGCCCATTCTCTTCGGCTTGAGCTGTAGCTGCGGCGACCTTGTTATTGCGGTCCACGAGTCCGGCGTGAACCATGTTGGTGCCCACGTCCAAGAGGTCATGAATGCGAGTGTAGCTCTTCGGGTTCTGCTCTAGAACCTTACCAATGATGGAAACGGGATCTGAGTGAACACGCAACACGATGGGACTGAAGGGTTCGCCTTGCCTCAGGACCAGCCGGTATTCGCTGAGGGCATGCGTTGCTTTCAGCAAGGAGTCGATACGGCGCCGCTCAGGGACGGACTTGTGAATCGTTTGAGGGAAGGCATTGATACTGTGAAACTATTAGCGGGAGTCCGTCGTGATATGGGTTTTCCTACTCACATCTCGTCACATTTCTTGAGGCCGCCCCTCGCGCGGCTTGGGTTCGACGCATTGTCGTACGCGTTGAGCGCAGCAGCTACGACGGTCTCCTGCACTATTTGCGGCGACAGCGGCTTGTCGGTGGCGTCCTCGTAAAGGGACCTTGCGAGCGAATATCCTGGCCATGGTTAGTAAAGTAGAGTCATGGATTGTGTATGGTACACATACGTGTACTGGACAGGAGTGCTCTCAAGATCTCAGTCTCGATAACTTCCGGCTTGACCTTGGCGAATATTCCCATCACCTTGCCCTCTGGCGTGGGGGCAATGCCCCAGTCTCGGAGCCAGAGAACTTCCTTTCGTCTCTTGACCCAATATGTTTCGTCGTTCTTAGGAGCGTTCTCTGCTAATGTATGTATCAGCTGAATCACCTCGGCCTTCTGGTCTCTTTCATCTTGGATGAACGCCAAGTCTCCAGCTCTCTTAATAGTGCAAGGTAGTCCACATTGCGTCAGTATGAATGCGCTGAGGATCAGGCCATGGAGAAGGTGTGTTGACTTTCGAGACGGCTTGGTGAGAGGGTTCGAATCCTTGAGCAGGTCGTCTCGCATAAAGGCAGTGTTCTTGTGGTTCAGGATCCCATCACCTTCCAGATACGCAACAGCAGATAACGTATCTGTACCCTCGCGAAGTGACATCATATCATCCTGACCTAGCAGGTCCATGACCTTCCTCAACATTTGGTGTGCTCCTTCGAGCGCTTCTACGCTGGCCTCTGGTACCAGATAAGCGCACGCCATGATTCCTCGTGCATAGCGGCGATCGAGATGCTGCTGTTGCTGCTCACTGAGCCACACAACATCATGCTCTCCCAGATCTACGTCTACAGCACCTCCCCATTGCTCAACGGCAGCAACAGCCACTCTCCAGGAGCTCGAGCTCTTGGAAAGAAGCCATTCGAGGAAACGTTCCCATCCCGCACTGTAAATGCCCTCCTCTGTCGATTCAGTCTTGTCTAAGCGTTTCCACCGCGCGTCGTCATGCAACCAGGGCACAAGCATGCCTCTGAGATCTCTCCCGATCAAAGTATAATCCTTTGGCTGCGCGCCCGTCTGGGACAAAAGAGCATCAACGGCGGCGCCATCTGGGAGACTCTGAAACTCGGCCAACGTATAGGGCACGCTTTCCGTCGGGTAGTATTCGTAATTCCTCCTTAGCAGTGGCAACAAGGTTGAGACCATCCAGACCCGGATACCTGGAGCATACTGTATAAAAGGGCCAAGTAATTCGGGAAGCTGGTTGAGCAGGCCGGCCTCTTCGTCGACACGGTGTGCTCGGTGTAGGAGGAATAAAGTCAATGGATCGTCGTCGGTTTCGACCGTGATATCCTTCCTAGCTAACGGTAGCAAGTGGAGTTTGCGAACCTTTCTCGCAGCGTCTTCATCCGACAAGTTCTCGACGATAGAGTGGTCGATGTTCTCGGCTTCGCGGTCGATGAATTCGCCAGTCGAAAGCTCCTCCAAAAAGGAAAGGTAATCGCTAGAACTAACTGTCTCGGGCAGATAGGTCACGAGGACGCGCAGAACGAGGTCCTTGCGGAGGACAGTAGCATGTCGAGAGGCAAGAAAGGCCAGGCTTTCAATATCGGCGTGGATGGCTAAGTGGACAGCCAAAAGCACAAGCTTCGGCGGGGACAGGACGAGGCTCATTCTGCAAGGGTCCGAGGCATATCCAGTCTAGTGTGTTGTCGGGAACTTTTACTGCGAGCTGACCATGAAGCGCTGGACTCAGCTGGTCAGAGGAGCTATCGCGAACCGATGTCGGTATATCGGAGCGCTGGACAAGTCGACAGGTGCAAGCGCAAGTGCAAGTGGGCACAGGCACGGGCATCAAGGTCCAGCTCCCCGAAGCGTGTTCAGTTGGGGACTTGGGGTGCATGCACTTAGCTTTCGTCATCAGATACTAAAGAAGGTACCTTGCCTGAGGTGCTGAGTGGATTGAGTGCCAGGTGCTCTGATTGGCAAGCAAGCGGGTCAGGGAGGAATAGACGCGCGCTAGCCCCGAGAACTCACGGTCCCGGCGGAAGTGCTATTGGAATCAAGTACCTTCTGATAGGATAATATTTGCCAGACAGCCGCGGACTCTTCCATTGGCACAACCACCTTCCAGACTTTCGACTTCGCGATTGCGTCTCCACGACAGTGCCCGACGACTTGAAGCTTCACCAACCCACCAATCGGCGCTTGTATATCCACAATGGCCTCTGGATACGGACTTCACGGAG